CGATTAAGCATTGTATTGAAAGATCATTGTATTTGCATTATCCTTATTTGTATAATAAGTCTCGGGTTACACAAATACGAGAGACAGTAAAGTTCAACACCTACGTCATTAATTTCACGCTTTAACACCGCAAACGTATCATTGGAGGTCCTGCCGAGACAAATAACAACAGTTTGCCGTGTTACTACAAATCAATTGAGTGAATCATAAAAGAAGAATATATAACAATATCATCATGGACGCGAGTGGAACGAACAACAACTTTTACTTACGTTTCCTACAACCCCTAAAGCCTTTCGACGGTATCGAGGACGATAGGAATCCTCGTAAGGCTGAAGATTGGTTCACCGAATTAAAGAGATTAAAAGACATTGGAAATATGCCTGATAAAGTCATTTTAGCTATTGCAGCATCCAATATGTTGAAAAACGCGCAGCTTTGGTGGAGATCTATAGAAAACACTACCAGTGAATGGACGAGATTTGAAGAGAAGTTTCACCAGAGATTTGTTAGAAATAAAATCGCAGAAAGTTGGACAAAAATAAAAGAAATGAAACAACCATTAGAGCAATCAGTTGGTGAATTTTTAGCTGAATTGGAAGAGTTATTTAGCATCGTTGGTTTGACTGATGATTCCTCAAAGATTGCATTTCTGATTGCTTCAGTTGCACCCAGTATCGCCTACGAATTAGAACAAAAAAGAGATTCATTTGAAAGCTATGAAGATGCCATTAGTCAAGCCATTGAATTTGAAAAATTGCAAAAGAAGTATGCGCAAGTGGTACCATCAATTGCTGGCCATAACAGTATTCGAAGCAGCAGTGAAAAGCATGTATCATTCAACATGGATAGTGTCGTATTTGAGGCACGATGGCAATATTATATGAGTAAATTACTCAAAACGTCTAACGAAATGTAAAATAAAACTTGATCTCAGATATGAGTACTGCTCATATCTTCGTTCCCGTTTGGTAAGCGGTGTGTTCGATTGCATACATTTGAACCTTAGATCAAATGTATAACACATAAAGATAAGATAAGAAAAGAATATGGATTAAGGATAATTCTTATGTGAGATTAGCTACCTCACATATGTAAGACTTGAACAGGTTATCTTTATGAAATATATTTTACTTAGGTTATCTATGGCTATATGACATTCAGGTATATAGCAGGATTGGTATATGTACTCGTAGGATATATTGATTCAACAACCAAAACATAGTAGATCACGGTACTGCTCCCTGTTCTGGAAATAAAGTATGGTTGGAGATAAAAAAGGCTCAATCACTCTTTATTAACACAATAACTGTTCACGCAATCAAAAGAACACCACGCACGAATATCTCTTCCTAGCCAACATCTATAATCACTCCCACAGTATCTGAGCTACACAACTGGTGGCCGATAGATATTGGATTATAGATGTAGCTGCATGATCACCCTGGATCTGCCAGGATAGCACATTACAAATCAATCCGCTCTGGGATGGACGAGTAATTATCCACCTAAAGGGAAGACCTATTCTTTTACGGAAACCTCTGATTCACTGAGTATTATTTGACCATAATACATCAGTGTCAGCTATAGATCCCGATACAGTCATTTCGTAGACAGCAAACACAATAAGTCTTTATTAATAGCAGTAATTTTAGTTTTCTTTTCTTTTTCTTTAGTTTGTTTTTGAAAGAGAAATAAAGACGGTGGTTTGATTTCGTTAAGCTTTCGTGTTTATTTTCTCTTGTGTTATTCTTTACCTTTTACTTCATAATTAAAACTAGCGAATACCACATTTTTTTTAACGAATTTCTAAACTACTTTGTCCATAATGCCCCCTATTAACCCCCATCAAGACTCCCCTCAAGAAGACCATGTCCAACAAAATGAGGACATGGAAATGCTTGATGTAAATCAGTCAACCTCTGGTAGATCCCCTCTGGTATCTAACTATCGTTCCTCTGTTTCCTCCTCCTCTGGTACCATCTCTTCTTCCCCTGCTGGCTCCCAAGGTACGGAAACAAAAGTAAATAATACTTATGTCCCTCCTCCTAACGAGAGTGATACATACATACACACATTTGATGTTGGCAAGGACCTCACTTCGCATCAAAATAATAACAATGATGTTGGCAAGGACTTCACTTCGCATCATTACCACAATAACAATAGTGATAGAAATGTCACGCATAATCATGATGGTGTTAACCATATGTTTATCGATTCATTAGGCCCCAAGCCGATTGACGGAACAGACCCTATGGTCATTCGTTACGAGAATCACATACATGAACTTTACGAAAAGGTTTTTAGCCTATCGGATCCTGTTGAAATTGCAAAAATTCACACTACCATTGAAATTTTTGAGACTAAGGTTAAGAAAATGAAGGGTGAAACTGCTCTTATCAACTCACCATCATATTTTGATCCCAACAAAAGTTCCACTATGCAGTCTAAGTACGCGCACCTATCATCCGATAACATTCACCGCAGTGAAATACCAATTTTCCAATTGGTGGATGATCCATTGGAAACTAAAACGGATAATGCCCCATCATTTGAAAACGCGGAAACATTTGCAGATGCATTTGAAGCCCCATTCATAGCCAATGATACAGACTTAGATAAGTATTGGAGGAAATACTTATCTGTCTCATTTTCCAAAAGCAAAAACCCTGTTTATCAACGTTGGTATGCCGTAGATTTCAAGAAGTTCCCACAGAACACTTCTTGGAAAACTATAAAAACGGAACTAGTTGAACGCTTTGGATTGAATGCCACCATCGATAAGAAAATCCAAAATTTCATTCGTATGAGACAAGGAAAAACAGAACAGTTACGTGACTACATGGACCGTTATTACCAAGCTTACTCATACTTACCTGATCCGAAGCCCGATTCTATCTATCTTGTGGCATACTTCCTTGACTCCTTGTTGCCAATGACAAGTGAGGAAGTAAAAAAATCACTAAAACGTTATCACGAAGGGAACTCTCCCGACAGCAAAACCTCCTTTTACCCAGCTTACTTATCTGAACTCTTCGATTACCTCAAAAAGAGAATGGGAGATATCCAAGAAAGCTTGGCGCTAAAATTTAACTCATCTCGGCAACATAATGCCATCACTAGTGGCAATAAGAATCATCCTGATAACGTTAACAATACAAACAAGAATAATCGCATTGATTTTAAACGCAAAAACAATGGTGACAACGATTCTTCTAACAAGAAACATAAGGCGTTAACCAACCCATGTTCATTTTGCAAAATTGAGAATTATTCTCGGGAACATCTGGAGAGTTGCTTGCCTTACCTCAAAAGTGACATATACTTGAAAAGACGTATCACTCAACAGAATAATAACCAAAAGGTAGAATTATTTTGTACTGTTATTAATCATAACAAGAGTGTCACTGACGGAATACTCATTTTATATAGCCAAATCGAACATGATATTGAAAAATCATTTTCATCGCTACTCAAGCGATCACATTTTGATCAATCCTCATACTATAAAAATTTTCTCACTAGCTCTGATCCAGCTAAAAATAAACATATATTTTTAAAAGATGATATTAGATCACAGATTTCTTGCTATAATGTCTCAAACATAACTGAGAATGAAGTACAGAATTTGTCGCCATATTCTCCCGTTATCATGATCAATGGTGAGAAACTAATTGCCATGATTGACACAGGTGCACAAATATCTTTGATAAATAAAACCTATGAATTTGAGGATAAAACTATCTTTGATGATATAATCCCTACCACTGGTACATTTTCATTTATTGATAAAAATTCTACAGCCAGTCGGATTGGTAAAACACGACCTCTAGAAGTGAAATATAGAGGTAGAACACCATTTTCCCACTCATTCGAAGTTGTGGAAATGCCGCTAGCAAATCTACCAGTTTTGTTAGGGAGAGATTTAATTCCACAACTGGGAATTTCGATTCAGAACATTGCCTACTCTTTGAAGACATCGAGGAAATTGTCTTTGAAGATAGTGTTAATCATGAATTGTACACTCCTAATGTGAGCAAAGCTTGTTCTGAAGAAGAATATGAACAGTTCATCGAGGAAATGAAGCCGTTGATGGATGTGAATGCAAATATTAACCTTCATAACCTTTGCCCTTTACCGGAAGCCATTGTTTATCTTCCCACTAAACCTAATGAAGTGGCATACACGAGACAGTATCCAATTTCATACGATTTGGTTCCTATCGTTAGAGAACAAATTAAGAAATGGGTCGATGACAAAACAATTGAACCTGCAAAAATATCTGGTTTCAATAGTCCCTTAACAATCACACCAAAGGCTGGTACTGACGCTAATGGAAATAAGAAGTACAGAGTTTGTCTTGATACTCGACGTATCAACAACCTGACAGACGATGTCTCCAACGTCAACACTCCTTTGATTGAAGACATCTTCCATGATGTCAGAGAAGCAAAAATATTCAGTGTTTTCGATATTTCAGGTGCCTTCCACCGATTGCAAATCGCTGAAGAAGACAGACATAAGCTTACCTTTACATTTGAAGGTAAAAGCTGGCAATTCCGAGGTGCTTGTTTCGGGTTGAAATCGCTTTCCGGAATATTTCAAAATGTTATGGAAACCATATTCCAAGATATGAAAGATTTTACATGTATCTACATTGATGACTTGGTTTGCTTTTCCAAAGATCTTGCTTCTCATAAAGAGCATTGCAAAAAGGTTATTCAAGCATTAACGGATAACAATATGCCTATCAATTTTGAGAAAACTCATCTTGTAAGAAATTCAGTTTACCTACTCGGTTTTTGTATTTCGGAACAAGGAAGATCCATTGATCCTCGTCGTTTGACTGACATTGATGAATGGCCAAAACCTCAAACCGCTAAAGCCATGATGAAATTTTGTGGTTGGGTCTCTTATATGCGTGCTCATCTACCTAATGCTAGCGAGTTAACTACTCCTCTGGATCGTTTGCGATATAGCACTCAGAAAGTCTTAGAATGGACTCCAGAAATGCATGCACATTACGACAGCATTATCAATATTTTGAAAAAGAATATTGCTTTAAGTCATCCAGATTTGAACCATGAATTCAGCTTAGCCGTTGATGCTAGCAACTATGGTATTGGTGCTTGTTTGTTCCAAGAATTTAAAGATGAACAAACTGGTAAAATTACTATTCGATACATTGGTTTTTCATCAAAGGCACTTTCTAAAAGTCAACGCAATTATAGTGTTACTCCGCAAAGAACTTCTAGCCTTGACTACTGGATTGACAAAATTCTACAATTTTTGCATGGTCCTAAACCTTTTACATGTTATACAGACCATCGCAGTCCTCTCATACCCTTTTCACAACCAAGAACCCCTCCATGATGATGATGCGATCCATGGAAGTTATCTTATCCTTTCCTAACATGAAAGTTCAATGGATTCCTGGCATTACGAATATCATGAGTGATAAATTGTCCCGATTATTCCCTACAATGCAAGACAAACTTGCCTTTGAAAAGGATGAGAACGACTATTCCCCCATCTATTCAAACAGACACAGAAGAATACAAAATCAAAAATGCGTGCTCAAAAACGTAAATTGGAAAAGAAGATCCTTAAAGATAATCCTTCTCTTAATCCTGAACGTACGCAGAACCTCACTCAGTTCTATAATTCCATTTCGGAAACATCTGATGTGACTACAACTCCCACCTTCACTCCTTCTTTGTCGAACCGTTTCATCCGCGTTAAACGCTGGTCTCTTCGCACCATTCATGATGATTTGAATGAACAAATTCGTTATTCTGGACCCACAGATGACGATGAAGAGG